GCGGTTTCTTCGCATTTTTCATTATAGACCTAGCACAAGACATCGCCCTCATATCCGAACCCAAGTACTCGACGTGATAGTTGTATTCGCACTGCGGTCCGATCACATAAATGTCAGCCTCGTTAAACATATAAGCCTGTCTTATCCATGTATTCAAGATAGGCGCCTCGAAGCGAGGATTAGTGCCAACAAGCAATATTTTATCAGCTTTCGCAATATCCTTCATACTAACGTTAAGGCCATAAGCCCATCTAAAGTCGGCTTGTGACCCTGTGTAGGCAAGAGAGCGCTCGACGTATGTGTTCTCACAGCCGATCACGTTAAGAAGATCTTTGCAAGTAACCAATGTTTCAATGCTACAATGTGGGCCGGCTATAGCAATAATTCTGTCAGGACATGACGATGCTTCTTTTAATAGTTTACAAGCCAATTTTAAAGCTACGTCCCATTCAATAGGAACGAGAGTGCCATCCTCATCCCGACACATCGGCGTAACCAATCTTTGCATCTCCAGAGAATCTATAGCCCAACGTCCCTTGTCCGATAACCACTCCTGGTTCACTTCATTGTTTTCACGAGGCAGAACTCTTAGGACCCTGTTAAACCGATGATTAAGAATAATATTTGTACCCGTCGCATCGGTGACATCAATTGAGTTCACTCTCTTGACCTCCCATGGCCTTGCTTTGAACATGTACGGAATTGCAGTTAAAGCACCAACCGGACAAAGATCAATAATATTTCCAGATAGCTCTGAGAAAAACTTTTTATCCACATAAGTCCCGACGAGCATTTCTCCTCCACGACCGGTCGTGCCTAATACGTCCATACCGCAGACCTGCGAGGCAAACCTTATGCACCTAGTACAATGGATACATCTTGTCATCTCAGAGCGTATCATCGTCGAAAGATTCTTGTTCTCGACGGCTCGCTTTCCTTGGAAATGTATGTCGGTAAACCTTGTTCTGTCGTTACCGAATCTCATGGTCAAATCTTGTAAGTCGCATTCTCCCCCTTGGTCGCAAATCGGACAATCGAGAGGATGATCGGCTAAAATAAATTCTAGTACACCTTCTTGAGCCTGTAGAGCTACTTTTGAGTTTGTGCGGATCTTGATGTTTTTGTATACAGGAGTAGCGCAAGCGATTTGCGGTTTGAATCCGCCCTCTATTTCTACAAGACACATTCGACAATTTCCCGCAATTGACAAACGGTCGTGATAGCAAAATGTGGGCACGGTTACTCGTTCTCTTCTCAATGCCTGTAGCACTGTGAAGTAACTAGGCACCTCCACTGACTTACCGTTTATGAAAACGGTCACATTTTTGCTTTGGGTTCTCTTCGGAATTTTTTGGAAGACGTCACTTGCATTTGCTATCAACTTATTGCAAACTCTGAACATATTTTTACATATGTATCGTGGTATGCCCCAAAATTCAAAACGTTACTTAAAAGTTTTTTGTGACAACCAAATTGAAATATTTTGAAGTAATTTAATGAAGATATCAAAGTAAAATAATGTATAGCCAGTATGTAGGAAGTCTTTTAAAATTTTAACAGTAAATTCTAATTATAGTTTAGACTAAATAGTAATTTTTCAACGTCGATTTCGAATTTCCGATAAAGTGAAAGTACCAAAACCAACTATACTTTTACCTTTCTGGTTGTAATAAATATTTTACACCTTGCAACATTTTTGGGTCTTTTTTGTAGCAATTTAGTAACAAATTTCAAAAGAACGTTTAACTTCATTTTAGAATATCGGTCATAGGTAATCCATCTGTTTTTGGTTTTAATTCACTTAATAGTATTACTTATATCCCGAAAATAAATGCTTCCGTACAAATATACACATTCGTTAAACATCAAACAAGATTTTATTGATATTTTAATTTCACAGTACCGTGACATTAAAACAACCTACTGTCAACGTCGACCTCCCCTCCCCATTCGCCAGAATCCAATTCATCTTGTCATATCCATCGTTAGATTATTAATATTTTTGAGTTCTTAAATTATTTTCCTTTTTTTGGTTTGTGAAAAGTTTTATTGTATAAAATCATCGACAAATTAACATTTCATTGGTGGTAAGTAAATGTTTTTATTGTAAAATGAAAAGTAGCACATGTCATAAAAATGTAATTCAAATTACCCTTAAAAGATAGAGTAATAATGCCAGAACTTGTTACAGATCACTACAAAATCCGTCTCAAAGGCTTCAGGCTTCGGCCTGTAGCCATTTATATTAATACAAACCCTAAAAAATCAACGAAACATAGCAAAAGCTAGTGGTTTTTTTACAAGTATTTAGCTAGATATTTCACAATATTTCTCAGTAATTTTCTACATTATCACAAAATGTCTCAGTGGAATAATTCTTACGGTTATAACAATCAATTCCAAGTGCCACCTAATTCTTGGAATGGAGATTTAAATGGGCAATATGTAAATCAACCTTACTATGATAACAGGCAATATGAGTCAAGCAACCAATATGTAAGTTTTGATGAATTCTTAACACAAATGCAGGGTAATGGTGTTCCACAAAATAATGCTTCTAATTATAATAATGTACAGTACCAAGCTTACCCAACTAATCAGTACAACTATCAGAATGTACCATCACAAAATCCACAGATGGAATACAATTATGGACACCAGAACCCTACTGCAAGTAATACTTTAGATACTTATTCAACCAACATTCAAAATCAATACAACCAATCTGTACCTGAATCAAATACTTTTTCAAATGAAGTTGTTATGAATTCAAAATTGACACCAACTGCAACAGAATTTGTACCAAAATGTTCCATAAATGTAGCCTCTACTTCCCAAACCACTTCTCAAGAAACTTCTGTTACACATAATGATGAACCAGATAACAGAAGTAGTACCACTAAATCATCAGAAAGCAATTGGAGAGAAAGACCAAGCAATAGCGAAACAGGTAACTCGCAAGTTGAAATGAACAATTTTGGTCGATATCAAAAAAATTATAAAAACACAGAAGGAAATCGTAATCGTGAATCAAATAGTCGGTATGAAAAACGTAATAATGAATCAAAACACGAATCAAATGGACGCTATCGTAATGAACATAGTAATAATTATCAATCAAACCAACAAAATAAGGAATCATCAATACAAAATAAAGATTCAGAAAACTCTGCAAACGATAATTATAATCATCAAAACGAAAATCAGCGAAATTTTGAAACTGGAAATAGAAACGAAACAAGAAGATATGCAAATGAAAATAATCAATCAAAAGCAAATTCTAAATCAAAAAATAAAGATTCCGACGCAGGTCGAACTTTCTATAACAGCTCTATAAATAAAAATAGCCAAGATGTTAGAAACGGAAGAGGGGAAAGTTCTGGAAGAAATCGAAACTGGATTGGCAGTCAACGTGTCCGGACTGCGGAACGTAATAATATCGAAGATGAACAATATGCAAATACTTATATGCACTATAAAGATGACAGAGCAGAACGTGTTGCAAATAATAATAAACATGAAAAAACCGCTAGTCCAGTAAAAGGCAAAAACAAACCTACTAATGACTCAGGAGGTACGTAGAAGCCAAATAGACTAATACTGAAACATAATTTAAAATTGTAGCTGCATCTTAAGTAATAAGGGTTCACATGTAAACTACAAATTCCATTAAATTCTCTTTCTATTAGATTGTAAATGGCACTTACAAAATTAAGTGTTATGGATTATTTTCAATATTCAGTCATAAAAGTACTAAATATTCTCAAATAAAGTCTTATTTAGTTTTACTTAACATTATATTTTTAACTCTGAACTATATTTTTAAACAATATTGTATAGAATATTTATGTGTTTCAGGCAACACAGCGATGACCCAACGTGAGCGTCTCACTGAGCAATTAGACAAGGGTACTTTGGAATGTTTGGTGTGCTGTGAACGAGTCAAACAGACAGATTCTGTTTGGTGGTGCTCAAATTGTTACCATGTTTTACATCTTAGGTGTATAAGAAAATGGGCCATGAGCAGTTTAGTTGGTAAGTTATCTACTTTTACTAATATTATAAAGAGAAAATATTTGTATTTTTAGATTTTTGTGAAAAACTATTAGGCCGATTTTGAAAAGGGTTTCATCATTAAAAATCTGTTATAACATACTATAGTAACATATATAGGCTATATATTTAATATTATTATTTTATTACACAAGAAAGAAGTCGCCAGTAACAGCTAGTTATATAATAAAGCCATGGTAAAAATTAGCTAACATCTTTGGAAAAAAGTGATTCATAGATTTAATAAAAGATCTTTTATAATTACTGCTATTGAAAAATTCTTTTTATCCAGAAAATAATGTTTAATTGTAAATTTACACTGAAATATTCAATACATTAATTGTGATTAACAGAAGGCAAATGGAGATGTCCGGCGTGTCAAAACACGAATGAAGATATCCCAACGGAGTACCGGTGCATGTGTGGTGCTGTCAAATCACCAGAGTACTCTCGAGGCTCGGTCAGCGCTCACACTTGTGGCAAGTCATGCCGTCGGCCGAGGAACTGTCCCCATCCCTGCACTTTACTCTGCCATCCTGGGCCCTGTCCGCCTTGCCAGGCCACTGTCAGCAAGTAAGTTCATATAAACGTAATAAGTGCGTAAAAAGCTAAATTTTAGTCCTCTTTTCCTTTCTAACCTTGTCTTACAAGGAAAGTATGGTCAGGAGAAGTGAATTTGGTAGTGGTAGTGGAAATATGGAATGCTTACCCTCTGCTATTGATTAAATTTAGGCAACCCATTTGCCAATGCAGATGTCTTTGGACAACAGTTACTTTGCTATTTTAGCAAATCCTGTCACATTATACTAAAGATTAAAAAGAGTTATGGAAAAGTTTATATTCTAATTTATAAAATTGTGTTTAAAATGTGTTTTTAGAGCATTGCATTTCATTATGTTCTTAGGCAATGTGGTTGTGGTGCGGAGACGCGGTCGGTGCTGTGCAGCAGCAAGATGGCGCAGCTGTGCGGGCGCGAGTGCCGCCGCAAGCTGCCCTGCGGCGTGCACCAATGCCAGCAAGAGTGCCACGAGGGACCCTGCGATGAATGCTCAGAAATAGTCACACAAAGTATTCTATAATCGATATTTTATCATTAATTCTTTGTCACTTTAAAAAGCTTAATGCCTTAGCTTTTGTCCGCGACATCGTTCGCGCGGAATTGAAAAATAAATTTAATAATAGTTTATGTCAGAGATGGCGACCCACTGGCACATAATAGCACACGACACAATATTTTGAGCACGTTGATGATCATAAAAACACAACGAATAAGTATGAAGTAGGTATTATGTAAAAAGCGACCGCGATGTCATTATCATGCATTAAATTGACGTAATAATCGATGAAAATTATTTAATGGTGTGTTTAAGACCGCATTAAACATTTCTTTAAAAAATGGCACTTTGAAAAGTTCGCTACCCCTGGCCTATGTTCACTTCAATGTTTTACGTTAAAGTTCTTCTTGATATGTTAAGTCATTTGACAGTAGTAACAAACATCCATCCAAACTTTCACAATTATAATATTAATATGAATTAATGATTTTCAGTGTGCTACTGCCCCGCGGCAAAGACACGGTCTGTGCCGTGCACTTCAGACACTAGCGAGTGTCGCGCATGGTCGTGCGGCGCGGAGTGCGCGCGCGTGCTGTCGTGCGGCGCGCATGTCTGCCGGCGCGTGTGTCACGCCCCGCCCTGCGCGCCCTGCCCCCTGCGCCCCGACAACGTGCACTCCTGCCCCTGCGGCAACACTAAGTAAACATAAATATTCACCTACTAACTATTGCTCGCTTCGTTTGCCGTGTTTCTCACTGATAACGTAGCTTTCTAAAGGTGAATTTTAAAAATCGGCCCAGTAGTTTTTTAGTTATTTATAATAACAGTATAGATTATAGATTACGTAGTACCAATTTAGTTTTTCTTTTTATTTGTGAGATGGTCATGTGTAGACTGTTTTATCATTAATGTGGTTCCGTTTTTGCTCATTTAAGTATTTATTTGGAACAGGATTGAAAAAGATGAACGAAAGTCCTGCACAGATCCGATTCCTTTATGCGGTAACATCTGTGCGAAGCCATTATCCTGTGGTCCGGAAGGAGACAAACATTTTTGTAAACAATTGTGTCATGAAGGTATAATTTAAATTTTAGTAATTAATTGACGAAAGGTATTTTAAGTTACTTAATAAATCGTTTATTTTCAGGACCGTGTCCGACGTGTCCCGATAAGACATTGTTGCCGTGCCGCTGCGGGCACTCGAGCCGCGAGGTGCCTTGCTCAGACTTGCCCGAAATGCTCAACAATATTTTCTGTCAGAAAAAATGTAATAAGGTAAAATGCAGCAATTAAATGTATTTAGCCCGTTTTAGACTAAACTGACCTTGATAACAAGTGTCTTTAACAGTCCTATTTTTTTCCTGTACTGTAATATTTTATCAAATGGTGCTATCCTTGACCCCTAGAGCTTTTTTATCTGAATGTGTATTAATATTGATAATGTTCAATGACGCAATTATAATAAGTGTTGATACTTATTGGTAACTTGCATTAATTTTTGGCTTGTCAGGATAAAATTTTTGCAAGGTAAGTTTTACGTCGTGATTTATCGTAACAGTCTGACCGATTATAGATTTAAGTGTTAAATTCATTGTTACTGAATTTAATATATTCCGTGGGATCTAAAGTGTAGATTGCTAATAGCTTAAAAGCCCTGTACGAAACGTTTTAGGCTATATGTTTTCAAGCTATTAAACTTGGGGATAAATAAATTGGATAAAACCCTATATGTGGGAAAGAGGCTAAAACAACAAGCTGGCAACAGGTTTTTATTGTAACCGTAATTGTTGTCCAGATTCAAAAGTCTTGTCATTTGTGCATTTGAATTTTGATATTTGCAATTGATAATTTCTCTAATGTAAACAATACACAGTTTTTGTAATTTCTTGATGATGAAGCCGGATGGGAACAGCTAAAAAAGATATTTGTATTTATTTACAGAAGTTATCGTGCGGTCGTCACCGCTGCCGCACGGCGTGCTGCGCGGCCCAGTCGCACCGCTGCGCAGTGGTGTGCGGCCGCACGCTGTCCTGCCAGCTACACCGCTGCGAGGAGTTCTGTCATACGGGACACTGTGCGCCTTGCCCCCGCGTCAGTAAGTACATCACCTCACTATGTCCCCACTGAGGCTTGCCTACCCTAAGTTAGTAGTAACTAAGGGTGGCAAACCACTGCCACGCGTGACATAAATGCCACACGACAAAATATTTTGGGCATGTCGAAAATCATAATAACGCTAAAATTGTGAAGGAGGTGCACGGAATTGACGCAATAATTAGTCTAAATTATTTGATGGCACCCCTGAATTGGACCATAGTTAACTTTTTATAATACAAAGTATAATATTTAGTCAAAACCTGTCTTTAAATACTTTTGCCTGACCGTGATTAAAGTGAAGCAATGCGGATTCACTCGATTATCGGATCTATATGTAACAAATTGTCTACGGCGCGAAATTCTGCGGTTTACACTGTTTTATATATTAATGACTAGCTTTCGCTCGCGACTCCGTTCGCGTGGAATTTAAAAGAAAACAAAAGTGAGTAACCTGTGTTCTTCCAGACTATCCTCTACATCCATTCCAAATTTCTTCGTAATTTGTTCAACCGTTTAGGCTACAAACTCTAACAAACATCCATCCATGTAAACTTTCGCATTTATATTAGTATGATAAACACCTCCAAAGCGTTTAAAAGAGAGTGGAGTGAAAAAATCTATTTCATTAATAGAATAAAACTATGAATATGGCGGACAATGACGTTTTTTCATATCTGATGAATTGTTTTCGTGTTCAAAGGTTTCGAGGAGTTGCACTGCGAGTGCGGCGCGGAGGTGGTGTTGCCGCCGGTGCGGTGCGGTACGCGGCCGCCGGTGTGCCACGCGGCGTGCGTGCGCGTGCGCCCTTGCCGCCACCCGCCGCACCACGCCTGCCACACCGGCGACTGCCCACCCTGCGTCGTGCTCACCACCAAGATGTGCCACGGACAACATGAGGTACTCATCACTACACGTCCTCACTAAAATTCTCGAGCCTACCCCAAATTTAGGAAGACTAGGACATAATCAACCATAGCCCAGTGCGGGTTGACTTTCTTTATCTTTGTATTTCTTCTCCGATACACACACGATACCTAATTTAATATTTTTTTTTATAAAATATGGGACTATAAATGCTGCAAATATGTTGCAGAACTTTAAAAGGATGATACCTTCGTCTTATGAAGGTTAAAGGATTTTTTCCCCTTCCTAAGCGTCTCCACCATCTTATGATAAAGATTTGGGATGAAAAAGAAGACTAGAACTAGACCTCCATAACACAAATTAAAACCCTTTCTTTTTCTTGTTCCATTTAAATCTAAATTGAGTACTTAGAGACGCATCAATTCACTTTAATATTGAGATTCAAGTTGTACAATGTGATCAGGAGCGGAAGACAATACCGTGCAGCCAGGAGGAGTTCTCGTGCGGTCTGCCGTGCGGCAAGC